CTTGCGCCGTAGCGTTGTTGAGGCAGGGAGCAAGTATCATCTTACGGTGTGCGGTTTCACAAAGCATCTCTTCCTCTTTCAGAAAATTGATTAGCTTCTGTAGCAAGGTAGTGGAACGATGCCCTATATTAAAAAGCCAAATAACGCGTCTGTGTAATTTGAAAGCTGAGATTATTGGAAAGCAAATCCAAAAAGATATGATTTTGAAAAATTTACCGGCAAACTAAAAAGCTAATTAGCTAACAGGATTATTTTCTACTGGAAAATCATTTCCTATTTTAAATTTAAGTCGAAAAATTTTTTCAATGCAAGCGGAGGATAATTAACTATCTAAATCTAAAATCATTCAAGATAAAAATTACAAGTCTTCCTTATTAATTTTTTAATCTATTTTTTGTGGCCCGAATTAATTGCGTTAAATAAAAAAAGTTACCCACACACTCACTCATATCATTTTTTAATTTCGAAACAATATTTCATATAAAAAAAAATATGTTGCTCTTTGTTGTGCCTCACGATAAAAACATATTTTTTAATAAAATAAAATATATATCATTTGTAATTTGGAAGAAATTAAATCATTTTTTAAGTTTAAAATTTAGTATATACTTATATTATTTAGTTTGAATTATATTTTATAAGTATGATAATTTTAATGAATTTTAATTTTTTTAAATCAATTTATTTATAAAATTTTCAAATTATTAATAATTTAATTTGAACAAGAAGTATAATTTTATTAAATTTGATGAAATGAAAAGAGAATAAATCAATTTTAATCCTAAATACAAATTTAAGTCATAAAATAAAAAATTTTAAAAATCTATTTATTATAAGAAGAGTGATAGATATGGATAATATTATTTCGATGATCAAGAAGTAAAATTACACAGGAGTAATTCTTGCATAAATTTTAGTTTAAATTTAAATGTATGTCTTTCTTCTTAAAATCTATATAAGATAAGTTATTGGGCACTTTACAATGTCATTGCCGGATTACGATGATCCTGCTGTGTATTGCTGGTACTGCTTCTCTTGTCGTTGACGAGCTTTCTTCTATTCCTTCTTGTTATTCTTCGTTCTTCATGATATTCTTCCTTGTTATAACATAAGAAATTTTTTAAAAACAATCAAGGTAGAAATTTGGCACTTACATAAAGTTATTCAATAGGGGTCCTAAGATAGTAAAGGTTGTATGAGGTAAAAGCTCCAATCTTTAAGTAGGTACAATGAAGACATATTTATATTAAACACAAGTAATAAGCAAGTGACATTTATGATTATTGTTATTTGTTAAAATCTGCTTCACAACAGATTCCAACCTACAATTCCATAGATTGATATTTAAATGATGAATAATCTAGTCAATTGATATCTGCTTAGCATCTCGACATACTAGTAGAGCACAGCTTAAAAATTATTGATTTACTTATTAAAGTTTTTTTATATTATGAGCAAACAACTATCTTTGGGCTGTTGAATTGATCTCTTTAGTCGGTGCTTGATTCGACTAATAGCATGCTTAAGTTCGATTAATTATTTAGTCATCCAATTAATGTTTTACGAGCTTTCGATATGTTTCAAGCACTCATTTGGACTCATTTGGATCCAATTAAAATGACATTTAATTTTGTTTGTAAATGAGCAAAGAAAAAAAATCTGAAATTTTATGAGACTTTGAGATCTTCAAATTTAAATCAGCATTTTCTGATAATGTTAAAAAAAATAAACGCTTACAGAAATTTGCTTTACTACCTCTAACTTTAAAGGAAGATAACGAATTTCGGAAGATCTATGCCTGCGTCAAAAGCAGAAGAATTGGAAAAAAAGCAGTTAGTAAGTTACAGAGTAGATAATCATTATTTGCAAGATTAATCAATAAGCATTCATCAATATGAAATTATAAAAAAAGAACGATTTACGAAGGCATTCTTCAGACCAAAATTGTTCTACAAATATCCACTGAGTTTTATTATGTCGCCGAAGTGTTTTTCACCAAAAATCAACAATAATGTTCACAATCATGCATCATCCAATACAATTCATACAATTACTTTTTTAGAAGATGAGAGGGAACTCTGTTTATTCTCCCTGTGGACTCTACCATGCTGGAATCTTATTGTAAAACAGAGCAGAGTTGGAATTTGGTGCCAGTCAGTATAGAGGAGGCTTTGCGCTGGAAAACCCTTACGATCAAAGGCTAAATGCTCGTTGCAACCATCACGGCTGCCTCCAAATGCGTCATAACACATCATCTGTAAGTCCAAATACTCCTCAACATTAAAGAATCTTCTTCACCTCCGCCTCGCTGTCTCCATCGAGCCCAAACTGTACGTCTCCTCAACATCCGCCGGGCACTCGAGGCATGTGCTCTAAACTCTTTTAATAATTTTTCGCAATTTCCAATCCACCATCCTTCCTTTCCGCGCCCTGCCCTATTTTCTCTGTGAGCGCCGTCCCCGATGAAAAACACCGTCCACGCTCCGCGGCAATTCAAAAACTAGTTCTAATTCCTCTAAGCCTTATTAGCATGTCTTGCCTCCGATTTCTTCCGCTTCATATTCTCTGCCGCCGAACTTTTTACCACATCCTTCTTCGCTCTCGCCTACGGGCATCATGATCGAGACCCGATG